AAAAATTGGTAGGCACATTTTACCCTCGTCTTTTTAAATATATTTTTTTCAAAAAATCATATTGATCCCTATTTTACAAGATATAGAAGACGATAACAAACAAACCGAATGTGTTAAATTATACCACAATTCTAATCACAATGGTATAGTAGAAACTTACAAACACCTTAAACACAAATTTTATTGGCCCTCTATGCAAACTACTATTGCTAATTTTATAAATAAATGTGAATTTTGTTTAAAAAATAAGTACGAAAGACAACCTTACATTTTACCTCAACTAGGCCCTTTACTTGGTCAAAACCCCTTTGACATTTTACACGTTGACATTTTACAATGCAACAGAAATTATTATTTGACAATAATTGACTCTTTTTCAAAAAACGCCCAATGTTATAAATTACCTGACAAAGCTTCCGTATCAGTCTTAAGCAAACTAAGACACTATTTCTCACATCATAATTATCCAAAAAAACTAGTATTCGATAGCGGAAAAGAATTCAACTCTGCCCTCTTAAAAGAATTTATGAACCTTCAAAAAATCGATATTCACTTTACTACAGTAAACAACTCTTCTTCAAATTCACCTGTAGAACGTTTTCATTCTACCTTATTAGAAAAACTTCGAACTTTAAAAGCTCAAAATCCCGAAAACTCCTTAGACGACACGTTTACTCATGCTGTACTTATCTATAATCAATCTCTATATAGTGCCACCGGGTATTCACCTTTTTCAATTTTATATGGCCCTTATGCAGAAGAAATACACTTCGATTTCGATTTACCCATTTACGATACGTACAATCAAAGACATAAAGACGAACTTAAACCCTTCATTGACTATCTATACAAAAAACAAAAAGACAACAGAACTAAAGCATTAGAAAAAACAAACAAATCAGCAGAAACGATACCCATAATAAATAAAACTCTTTACGTTAAGAAAAAGAAAAACAGAGTAAAATTAGACGCTCCCTATCAAACGATATCTCCCAATAAAAAAAAACAAAACAAAAATTACTGGTCTACCAGACAAAAACAATCCTACAAGTACACACCTTAAATACACAAAACGATTAAGAAAAACTTATAGCAAAAATATACCTTTTCAGGATCGCCCTTCAACATCTCGAAGCCTCGATCAGAATTCAAACGATTCCCAATAAAGGTTACTACCCCGAACCAATGGGAAACGCAAAGGAAATTTCACATTTCCACCGACATATACAAATTAATCTTTCAAAACTTGAGAAGACATTAACTAATAGTTTAATTAATTTGGAACATTTTACACCTAAAGTGACTGGACTTACATTATTAAGAAATCAATTCGACCACTTACTAATAGAAGCCGAAGACAATTTACATAAAATCACACGTAGACATAAACAAAAACGAGGTTTGTTCAACTTCCTAGGAACAACCATTAAATACATTACAGGTAACCCTGACAATTCAGACTTAGAACTTCTAAAGACTCATATCACCTCATTAGAATTAAAAGAAAATGAAATTATAAAAAAATATAATAACCAAATTTCATACAGCGAAACCTTTAATAATAGATTTGATATGTTATTAGATAAGATAAATAATAATAACTTGGTAATCAAAAATGTGGTAGACGATATATCCCAACAATTAGTAATTATTAATAACATATTAGAAATGCAAAGCATCAACGAATATATTAAGAAATTAATTAGAACAATAACATTTTCCCAATTAAATTTAACAAATATTGAACTTTTCACTTTTAAGGAATTAAAAACTCTTCAAGAAAACTTAATATCCTTATATTCAAGAGACGCTCTAGTCATCAATGACGAGCATCCGTATGAACTATTAGAATCTTCACACTCTATAGTGTGCGTCACTCAAAAGAAAATGCTCATAATCCTCAAATTACCTATCCTACATGTTCATTCTTACCCTTTAATCAAAGTATACCCTATACCTAATGATGATCATGCGATGATAATACCACCTGCCAGGTATTACTCCAATAATTCATGGTATGAAGCCTGCAAGCAGAAATCCAATTTTGTTATATGCCAAAATAGAATTCACTCAAAGTGCCAAATTCCGAACGTACAGACCTGCGCTGTAGCCCACGTCTCTGAGAACTTCGTTCAAGAAACTGACAACGCCATTCTTTTAGGAATAGTCGAGCCCTTGACTATAGCCAAGACGACCGTCTCCCGTTCCAGTTTCATAATATACAATGAAACTCTAGATGTTCTAGGACAGCGATTTCTACCCAGAACCCTACAAGAAATTCAATCTCCCAATATCGTCCAACTCAAGTTAGAGCCACAACATGTGCTAAAACTAGAAAAACTGGACATTCCAAGGACTCACGGACAAATTCAACCGATTGAGACACTGAGCCTCCAACCGCAAATTTCCACTGGACTCAGCATACTTTCTTGTATTTTAATAACATTTGTTACAGCTTTTACCTGTTACATACTAATTAGAAAAAGACACCGGATTACCAAACTGCTATTCAGCCCAAGAATCCAACCCCATTAGGCACTCGCCCTGCAAGAGCTTTTAGAATCTTCGAGGACGAAGACTTTACCTAAGGAGGGAGGAGAAACGTTAGCGTAACCACCCTACATATTGGACCCTACCAAGATAATATAGCGACGACGGACGCAATACCCATTTCTTTTATTGCTTTTATTACTGTAATCAAATAGGGTAAACTAACTATAAATAGTTTGTGAAACCATGTTGGCTTGTTACTATTTTTCTATTCGTTGTGCAGTAAACACACAACAATATTATACTGAATTATTGTATACCACTTATATTTTAAATTAATAAACATCCTTTTTTAAAAAGTGCTTTGAGTGAGTGAAAACATAATTATATATACTGTATTTTTAACATGTTTTAATGTTTGAAAAATACGAGCCCTGGAGGTCCCGGGCCCGTGTTTGTGGCGACCAAAAGGGTTCTTTGAATACTTATTACAAATAATTACAAATCTGTATTTTCATTTTATAGCCTTTGTGAATATGGAACAACCCTCAAGCCTAGCTCTGTTGTCGCCGGTCGTTTATTTTCGTTCGGAGCTTTTGTGTGCAGATGCCACTTTCGGGATGGCAAAAAAGAAAATTTACCTGAAATCTTTTCATTTATTAAAAAAAATGTTTGGTTGTAGATACTTGAATCCTGAAGAACAAGGTGTCAAAAGAAAAATTGATTATAATTTACCTTCCACGTCATCACAGTCTCAGAGGTAAAATTAAACATGTTTTTTTTATTATTATTATATTTATTTTCTTTACAGTGTTCAAGATATTATTGTGGCACGTCAAGATTTACCTTCAACAGCACAATCACGAGAGCCTAATTGTTTTTTTCCTGTTGATAGTGTTATTTTTTTGCATTTCATTTTTAGAGAACAAGATATAGTACCACATATTTTCTTTTGATAAAATTGCAAATAATGATGCATCAATTCCTTTTTATACTGGACTACCACATAAGAAAATATTTGAGACTCTGTATAATATTGTAAAAAATATTGAATTTGATTATGTATATAAGTCTAGGGTAGAAAAAATTAAAAAAATTGATCAACTTTTAATGACTAATAAAGTTAAGACAGAATTTTCCTCATGCTGATTTAGCTATAAGATTTAAAGTTTCTGAATCTACGGTTTTCAAATATAGTTATCACTTGGATACATGTCCTTTATGAAATCCTCTTTACACAATTAATGGATCATATCCCAGACCGTAGTAAAAATAAAACTTGTCTTCCCAATTGTTTCACAACATTTACAAACTGTAGAATCATTTTAGACTGTACTGAAATATTTATTGCTGTTGTGCGAAAATCTATGCTACATCAAAAGGATACTTATAGTTCTTATAAACATAAAAATACATTTAAAGGTTTAATAGGTACAGCACCAAATGGAGTCATAACATTTGTAAGTGATTTGTATGTAGGATCCACATCTGATTAAAATATTGTAAAAGATTGTAAAATTGTGGATAAATTAAATTCAGAAGATCTCATTTTAGCAGATAAAGGTTTTTTAATTGGTGATATTTTGCCTCCTGGAATCAATTTAAATATACCACCATTTTTAATTACGAATCAATTTACTACAATGCAAATACAACAAACTCAGACAATAGTAAGAGCTCGTATTCATGTTGAAAGAGCCATTACAAGGATGAAGTGCTATAAAATATTAGATTTAATACTACCTACATTGTCTAAATATGCAGATATTATTTTTAAAGTTATTGCAGCATTAACTAATTTGCAGTATCCACTAATAAAAGAAAGAGTCGTTATTTATGTCGGACTAATATAAAGTTAAAAAAAATGTATTTCTAATTTATTTTTTGTTAATTCAATAAAACCATTTGACTGGAATTGGGAAATTTCCAGTTTGGCTATAAAAAATTTAAATAAGAAACGACATAAAAAAATCTAAATTATTACCTATTAAAAAAGATGTTATGCAATTTCAAAATTTTTCATATTTAGCAGCCAAGGAAGCATGGAAAGCATTGCAACAAAACGGCAAGATAAAATGATTTTACAGGAGATTATGAAAATGTATTGCAAATATTGTTACTAAATAGAAAACAAATAGGAGAAATTCGGTATTAAAAAAAAAAAAAAAACTTATAACAGCACACTTTCTCAAAATCAACAGAAATAATTTTTTACTATGTTTTCAGAAAAGAATAAAAATATTTCAAAAATATTTAAGAGATTATAACAGAAGGAAAAGGTAGTAAACCCATAATAATAATATTAATAAAAATAATAACCACGATAACGCATGACCTGGACTACTGAAATGAACGAGTATGTCATGCGCTGTTATTATCGAGCGACAGAACTAGAGACCATCAAAAGAGGATACGCACCCACCCTTTATAGACTCTTCAAGGAAAAATACCCTGACGTCACACACATAACGGAACAAAGACCAAAAACGAGTTATTAAAAACAACAACAGACTACCACAAGAAACCTTACAAAGACTAAAGGAAGAAACGGCAACACAAATTAAATCAGACAGAGACAGCGATGATACACCTCCTGTGCCAGAGACTCAACCTACACAAACCAATCAACAAGACCAAATAGATATAGATATACAAATACTGCCGGAAAACGCTCCAATCCCTAATACCCAACCGCAAACAGACATAAATGACGAAGACATATACATCAGAAATGAACTAAATAAACAATACAGTTACTGGACACAAATAGAAGCTACAGAACGACCAAGAATACCTAAACCACGCTTCAATAACCAATTTCTAAAACCACTTAAGACAATTAACAACATTTTACCAACATTGATACAGGAATCGCACACACTGGAGCAAATACACACAATAATATATAGTGCAGCATACACCTCGATCACACTAAACAGACAAAACGCAAGAACGCAAAACACCAAAGTGGGAAACTAGGCTAATAAACAACATAGCCAAACTACGACAAGACATTGGAAGAGTGACTCAATACGTAAACGGAAACAGGTCAACCAAACTACTAAAGAACATACAACACATAATACAGGACAAAACAAACACACTCACAGAAAAACTAGACACACTGAAACAAAAACTCGCTGTATATGCTAGCAGACTACGCAGATACAAAGAATCAAATGAGAGAAAACGACAGAATAACTAAGAATAACGAAGAACGTTTTTACGATAGCCTAGATAAAGCAGAACAAGTCAAACTGACCCCACCAAGCAGAGAATCTATAACAACATTCTGGAAATATATATGGAGCAACCCAGTCACGCACAATAATACAGCTACATGGATCTACAACGAAACAAAACAATATGCCCACATTGACGCGACTACACAAACAGCAATAACACATGAAGAAATTACACAAACAAAAATACACATAACTGGAAAGCACCCGGAGTAGACGGCCTCCAAAATTACTGGTACAAACAACTAACATCAACACATGCCTACCTTGCAACATGTATAACGGACATTCTACAACATCCAAATAAAACACCAAAATTTCTAACCATAGGCAAAACATTTATCAAACCGAAAAACAACGACACAGCAAACCCGGCCAACTACCGACCTATAACCTGCCTACCTACCACATATAAAATAATAACCTCCATTATCACGCAAAAAATAGAAAACCACCTATGACCATGAATCGACCAATCGCCTTCGGCATGATTATGGTCATGATTCGATCCCCCCTCTTTTTGCTTGCCAGCCCCTCTCTTGGCCTGCCTGCGCCGGAGCCGTCTGTTAAGACGAAAGTCTTTATAATTTTACATTTAGTATATAATTTTCAAGCGTACGGAATAGTAGCAAAATGAATCAATCTCCTTCAGGTAATAATAGTGAAATTAGTGACTTTGATTTTTTAACTGAGGTAATTATTTTTTTTTTAGTAAATGTTATTGAAACCGTAAATGTGTCTGATTTAATAGCGCCTCTCGATCGCTGTAAATTAGAGTATACTCAACCATTTTGGACTGCTGTAGAGGTTCATGGATTGGATATAAAATTTAATTCTCGAGAAACTTTGGATTTTATTTTTAATTATGGACCATGCGATGTTGTTGCCGAATGGTCATTCCAGAATGAGATATTTGATGATTTGGTTAGGTGCCATCACAATTTTAATATGTGTAACCAGTTTTATCATATTTATGGCATTAACAGTAAACGAGAATTAATATGTTGTTATGATTGTTATTATCGCAAATATTTAATACACCAATTACATCGACAAGAAGAAGGCATCGCCGTCAATTGGGTCCATTTTCATGCTGAATCGCACCTGCATTGTTTTTTTTGTAGATTAGATACTAACGAATCAAAATGCTTTGTACCGCATTTATCAACTTATATAACTACTACACCATACTTTAAAACTGTTGTAATAGAATAAATATTTTAGTTTTTAGATGATGGATCCCCAGACAATAGAAATGCCATGTCAACTACTTTGTCTAGTGAAATTGCTAGAATTAATTTGGCCAGAAGCCGGTCTCCCTCTCTCAGTAATAGTGACTATGTTCGAGATGGCAATTCTTCAAATGTCTCACAAAAAAGATCTCGAGGGGAAGCGGGAGTTGAAGTCATTGCTAATGGTTTGGAACAAGGCCAACAGAATACTGAAGAAATCCCCGACATATCCGAAATCAGTAATTATCTTCGAGGACTTGAAAAATCTATTAGAGGAACACGAATTATTCATGACGTTGTGCCAAACATCGATGAGCGAACCAATACATACCTTTATAATCGATGTATTTCAAAAACATTTCTCGGAGGACTTTTCATCTGGGTATTCCATACCGACCATGCCCATGTCATCCATGACTGCATGTATTCAGGAAACAAGTGTAGATGTACCAGAATCCAATGTCTCCCTATCAAAATTAGGACTAGAAAATTTCATAGATTCTATAGCTTCTGTCCCAAATACCTCTACAATCTCACAAAATATTGTTGTCAACCACCGAGACAATTTTGTCACTTGGAAGTCGGAGGGAGAAAATGGCGAATACCTAGTGAAATTAGAAATTTATCGTACGAAAGATATTGTCAATTTGGACAAGAGCCAATGGTGGAGACAAGGTCAGATTCGGATGAATTTTCTGACAGCCAGTCCAGTCGATCCACTTCAAATATTAATAAACAAAGCAGTTCAATTAGCCATGAAACGAGTTACAACCCTCGAAAACGTCAAAAAGGAAATAAAGAGGAAGAGTTACTACAGTGGCTCCACCAATTTCCGACAAGCCCCATATTAGGTATTATTGGATCTAGAGTATGGATGAATTCAAAATATAAATTTTTATTGTCTGGGGATAATATGGTAAAAAGTGTATTTAATGTATTCAATCATTATTTTGTAGATAAAACTTTTGAAGAAATTTATTATTATGCAGTTAGTGTAAATCCTTTATATTGTAGTTTTAAGGGAAATATTTTTGATTATTATTATTCGGTGGAGGAATCGGTGAATATTTTAAATGAATTATTGTATTTTCAATTTAACAATGATGAACAAGCAATTGTCGTCTTTTTAACTGATTTATTAAATATTATTGATAAGAAAATTCCAAAAGTTAATTGTCTACAAATAATAGCTCCAGCTTCTAGTGGTAAAAATTTTTTTTTTGATACAGTAATACATTATTTTTTTAATTTTGGTTTAATTGGTAATTTCAATAAGTATCAACAATTTCCTTTAATGGAAGCTGTCAATCGTCGCATAAATTTGTGGAATGAACCAAATGCTGAACCTGGAGCTATGGATACCTTGAAAATGTTATTTGGCGGTGATAATGTTAATGCTAAGGTAAAACATATGTCTGATGCTGTTGTTTCAAGAACACCTATCATTGTATTAACTAATAAAACTTGGTTAAGTAATGATGCTGCTTTTCAACATCGTATAATTACGTATAATTGGAAAACAGCACCATTTCTAAAAAATTATAATAAAAAACCATATCCATTATCTATTTATTCTTTATTACAAATACATAATATAATATAATACATTGTGTTTAATTTCCATATGTTTCAAAACCTAAAGGATCAATTTGTTCGTAACGTAATTTATCTCTAGCTGGGAATGCAACAAATTCAGTACTTTCTCCATGGGCAGGTAATTGATGTGGAAAAACTGAATCACAATCATATTCCAATACCATTTCAGCGTCAACGGCAAAATAAGCAGCAGTATTTTGAAAATTAGTATTATCCGTTGATGGATTTAACGCTGGTGTTGGTAAAATACCGAAATAAATATTCGGTACACACATTTTAGGTGATTTAGGATTTGCATAATGAGGAGCAAAAACTTTACTTCCATCCACACTGAAACCCAATAAATCTTTAATATTTCCACTTTCAAAATTTTGAGTATTAATTGAGGGTTTAACTTTTACTACTCCATTTTTTGTTAAACTTGTAACTATTTGAGCTGGCATTTTATCTAAAATATTTTGAGTGTATCCTGTATCAGTGTCACCAATAGCAAATGGAATATCATGATCTTTACAAGATAAAAATCCAAAAGAGGGTGTATAATTCCATTCAATAATAGGTTCACCAATATGTGACAAAAACTGAAATCGATTCATATATCGGTCTAATTGATAAACACCTTCATTATGAGTACTGTAACCTGGTACTCCGTTATTTGAATTAATACGTAAACATGCGTACATATCAACATGACGAGGAACGCCCATACACATTGGTCCTTCTTCTGTTAAATCAATGTCACCATAATATTTTTGTAAAATATTTTCAATATTTGGAGCTTTTGTAGCCTTTGGAATCATTGGGGTGTCTGCTGCACTCTCATACACTTGTCCTGTAGCATATATTTTCTGGTTTAAACCAACTGCATAACAACCAATTGCGCAATGTTCACTTGTAGCAGTTCCAGACAAAGTTGTTCCGGTATCGAACGCTGTACGTAATCCTAATGGAGTTACCGTAACTTTCAGATTTTTAATTTTTATTTGTCCATGATTCCAAATTGTAGTCAATTCATGAGGGTTCATATAAAATCCTACCATATCATTAGGTAACACTGCCAACGGCGTAGTTAAATGAACGTGGTCACCTTTTGCGGTAATTGGTGTAATTATATTTTTAAATGCATATCCATATGTATAAAAAATTCTGCTTTTTCTATAATTATATGTAACTGCGTTCAATCGAATACTTCTTGGAATATTTACCTTTTTAGTAGTTGCACCTTGAGCTGCACGTGCGCCAGCACCTTGTTGGCCATGAAGTAAATCATTATCAACATCCATGCTGTCAACGGGTGATAAATTTAATGGTATATCGCTACCTTGATCACTGGTACTAGGCGAATCGAGAACCGGATCTTCTACTGGTGCACTTGTTGTCGGCCTTGAAGTTGTTGACGTTGTAGATGCTTTGTCTGTGGTCGCGTAATATTGTCTCATAAAATCATGCCAAGCTGTTTGTCCCCCAGAGGCTTTATGTTTTTTATATTGCTCACTAATATCTTGTTGAATATTTGCGTATCTCTTATGACCTTTATGGGTTGAACTTTTTGGCGTCGATGTTATGGGTGCCATATACGGATATAATTGATGTTTTAAAATGTATTTTTCTATAATATGTTTAACACTTAGTCCAAGAACTCCAGCTAATGCATGCGTATTACCATCAGAAATGAAATTAGTAAAGAAATCTCGAATGGCTAATAAATCTGCTACTTCAATATCTCTCTGCGATTCAGCATTTAAATAAGCTAAATCGTGTTGTAAAGCAATGTAATCATCAAAATCTAAAGGCACTTCACTATTTATCTCATTACCAGGTCCTAAATACTTATGAAACGGAAAAGTTAATACTGGTATGCGGTCTTTTATATTATTAATTACTTCACGCCACATACTGAATATTTAATTTTTTTTCCCTCTTATATTTCAAACAAATGTAAAAATATAAAGACTTTCGTCTTAACAGACGGCTCCGGCGCAGGCAGGCCAAGAGAGGGGTTACATTTAGTATATAATTTTCAAGCGTACGGAATAGTAGCAAAATGAATCAATCTCCTTCAGGTAATAATAGTGAAATTAGTGACTTTGATTTTTTAACTGAGGTAATTATTTTTTTTTTAGTAAATGTTATTGAAACCGTAAATGTATCTGATTTAATAGCGCCTCTCGATCGCTGTAAATTAGAGTATACTCAACCATTTTGGACTGCTGTAGAGGTTCATGGATTGGATATAAAATTTAATTCTCGAGAAACTTTGGATTTTATTTTTAATTATGGACCATGCGATGTTGTTGCCGAATGGTCATTCCAGAATGAGATATTTGATGATTTGGTTCGGTGCCATCACAATTTTAATATGTGTAACCAGTTTTATCATATTTATGGCATTAACAGTAAACGAGAATTAATATGTTGTTATGATTGTTATTATCGCAAATATTTAATACACCAATTACATCGACAAGAAGAAGGCATCGCCGTCAATTGGGTCCATTTTCATGCTGAATCGCACCTGCATTGTTTTTTTTGTAGATTAGATACTAACGAATCGAAATGCTTTGTACCGCATTTATCAACTTATATAACTACTACACCATACTTTAAAACTGTTGTAATAGAATAAATATTTTAGTTTTTAGATGATGGATCCCCAGACAATAGAAATGCCATGTCAACTACTTTGTCTAGTGAAATTGCTGGAATTAATTTGGCCAGAAGCCGGTCTCCCTCTCTCAGTAATAGTGACTATGTTCGAGATGGCAATTCTTCAAATGTCTCACAAAAAAGATCTCGAGGGGAAGCGGGAGTTGAAGTCATTGCTAAAGGTTTGGAACAAGGCCAACAGAATACTGAAGAAATCCCCGACATATCCGAAATCAGTAATTATCTTCGAGGACTTGAAAAATCTATTAGAGGAACACGAATTATTCATGACGTTGTGCCAAACATCGATGAGCGAACCAATACATACCTTTATAATCGATGTATTTCAAAAAAATTTCTCGGAGGACTTTTCATCTGGGTATTCCATACCGACCATGCCCATGTCATCCATGACTGCATGTATTCAGGAAACAAGTGTAGATGTACCAGAATCCAATGTCTCCCTATCAAAATTAGGACTAGAAAATTTCATAGATTCTATAGCTTCTGTCCCAGATACCTCTACAATCTCACAAAATATTGTTGTCAACCACCGAGACAATTTTGTCACTTGGAAGTCGGAGGGAGAAAATGGCGAATACCTAGTGAAATTAGAAATTTATCGTACGAAAGATATTGTCAATTTGGACAAAAGCCAATGGTGGAGACAAGGTCAGATTCGGATGAATTTTCTGACAGCCAGTCCAGTCGATCCACTTCAAATATTAATAAACAAAGCAGTTCAATTAGCCATGAAACGAGTTACAACCCTCGAAAACGTCAAAAAGGAAATAAAGAGGAAGAGTTACTACAGTGGCTCCACCAATTTCCGACAAGCCCAATATTAGGTATTATTGGATCTAGAGTATGGATGAATTCAAAATATAAATTTTTATTGTCTGGGGATAATATGGTAAAAAGTGTATTTAATGTATTCAATCATTATTTTGTAGATAAAACTTTTGAAGAAATTTATTATTATGCAGTTAGTGTAAATCCTTTATATTGTAGTATATTGTAGGGAAATATTGTTGATTATTATTATTCGGTGGAGGAATCGGTGAATATTTTAAATGAATTATTCTATTTTCAATTTAACAATGATGAACAAGCAATTATCGTATTTTTAACTGATTTATTAAATATTATTGATAAGAAAATTCCAAAAGTTAATTGTCTACAAATAATAGCTCCAGCTTCTAGTGGTAAAAAATTTTTTTTTGATACAGTAATACATTATTTTTTTAATTTTGGTTTAATTGGTAATTTCAATAAGTATCAACAATTTCCTTTAATGGAAGCTGTCAATCGTCGCATAAATTTGTGGAATGAACCAAATGCTGAACCTGGAGCTATGGATACCTTGAAAATGTTATTTGGCGGTGATAATGTTAATGCTAAGGTAAAACATATGTCTGATGCTGTTGTTTCAAGAACACCTATCATTGTATTAACTAATAAAACTTGGTTAAGTAATGATGCTGCTTTTCAACATCGTATAATTACGTATAATTGGAAAACAGCACCATTTCTAAAAAATTATAATAAAAAACCATATCCATTATCTATTTATTCTTTATTACAAATACATAATATAATACATTGTGTTTAATTTCCATATGTTTCAAAACCTAAAGGATCAATTTGTTCGTAACGTAATTTATCTCTAGCTGGGAATGCAACAAATTCAGTACTTTCTCCATGGGCAGGTAATTGATGTGGAAAAACTGAATCACAATCATATTCCAATACCATTTCAGCGTCAACGGCAAAATAAGCAGCAGTATTTTGAAAATTAGTATTATCCGTTGATGGATTTAACGCTGGTGTTGGTAAAATACCGAAATAAATATTCGGTACACACATTTTAGGTGATTTAGGATTTGCATAATGAGGAGCAAAAACTTTACTTCCATCCACACTGAAACCCAATAAATCTTTAATATTTCCACTTTCAAAATTTTGAGTATTAATTGAGGGTTTAACTTTTACTACTCCATTTTTTGTTAAACTTGTAAGTATTTGAGCTGGCATTTTATCTAAAATATTTTGAGTGTATCCTGTATCAGTGTCACCAATAGCAAATGGAATATCATGATCTTTACAAGATAAAAATCCAAAAGAGGGTGTATAATTCCATTCAATAATAGGTTCACCAATATGTGACAAAAACTGAAATCGATTCATATATCGGTCTAATTGATAAACACCTTCATTATGAACACTGTAACCTGGTACTCCGTTATTTGAATTAATACGTAAACATGCGTACATATCAACATGACGAGGAACGCCCATACACATTGGTCCTTCTTCTGTTAAATCAATGTCACCATAATATTTTTGTAAAATATTTTCAATATTTGGAGCTTTTGTAGCCTTTGGAATCATTGGGGTGTCTGCTGCACTCTCATACACTTGTCCTGTAGCATATATATTTTCTGGTTTAAACCAACTGCATAACAACCAATTGCGCAATGTTCACTTGTAGCAGTTCCAGACAAAGTTGTTCCGGTATCGAACGCTGTACGTAATCCTAATGGAGTTACCGTAACTTTCAGATTTTTAATTTTTATTTGTCCATGATTCCAAATTGTAGTCATATAAAATCCTACCATATCATTAGGTAACACTGCCAACGGCGTAGTTAAATGAACGTGGTCACCTTTTGCGGTAATTGGTGTAATTATATTTTTAAATGCATATCCATATGTATAAAAAATTCTGCTTTTTCTATAATTATATGTAACTGCGTTCAATCGAATACTTCTTGGAATATTTACTTTTTTAGTAGTTGCACCTTGAGTTGCACGTGCGCCAGCACCTTGTTGGCCATGAAGTAAATCATTATCCACATCCATGCTGTCAACGGGTGATAAATTTAATGGTATATCGCTACCTTGATCACTGGTACTAGGCGAATCGAGAACCGGATCTTCTACTGGTGCACTTGTTGTCGGCCTTGAAGTTGTTGACGTTGTAGATGCTTTGTCTGTGGTCGCGTAATATTGTCTCATAAAATCATGCCAAGCTGTTTGTCCCCCAGAGGCTTTATGTTTTTTATATTGCTCACTAATATCTTGTTGAATATTTGCGTATCTCTTATGACCTTTATGGGTTGAACTTTTTGGCGTCGATGTTATGGGTGCCATATACGGATATAATTGATGTTTTAAAATGTATTTTTCTATAATATGTTTAACACTTAGTCCAAGAACTCCAGCTAATGCATGCGTATTACCATCAGAAATGAAATCAGTAAAGAAATCTCGAATGGCTAATAAATCTGCTACTTCAATATCTCTCTGCGATTCAGCATTTAAATAAGCTAAATCGTGTTGTAAAGCAATGTAATCATCAAAATCTAAAGGCACTTCACTATTTATCTCATTACCAGGTCCTAAATACTTATGAAACGGAAAAGTTAATACTGGTATGCGGTCTTTTATATTATTAATTACTTCACGCCACATACTGAATATTCAATTTTTTTTTCCCTCTTATATTTCAAACAAATGTAAAAATATAAAGACTTTCGTCTTAACAGACGGCTCCGGCGCAGGCAGGCCAAGAGAGGGGCTGGCAAGCAAAAAGAGGGGGGATCATGAATCGACCAATCGCCTTCGGCATGATTATGGTCATGACAGAAGAACAGAAGGGATGCCGAAAAAAAGCCAGGGATGTAAGGAACAACTTACAATTGACAGCATGATACTGAAACAAGCAGAAAAGAACCAAAGAAATTTGTACACATGCTATATAGACTACAAAAAAGCATTCGACTCTGTACCACATAAGTAGATGTAATTGGCCGGTTCTGGAAATGAGAAAGAGGTACAGAGACAGGCAATTGGGTAATTAGTAATTATAGTAAGTACCCCCCACCCTTCGCGCAATTAGCAAGTACCTCCCAATTACACCATGTACACGCCATTTGGGTAATTAGCAAGTACCTCCCAATTACTATTATGTACTGTAATAAGTGTAATTACATAGTGTAATTGCGTAGTGTAATGATAGCTCTCATTACTCCATATACACAGAGGTGTAAGTACCTCTCGGAGAGTATTTACTATGTATATCACGTAATGTGTAACGAGCATGGTAAGTACCCATACTCATCGAAGTGTAAGTACCTCTTAGATAGTAATTACTATGTATATCATGTAATGAGTTTAGTCTAAATACATCTCAGTGATTACTATTGTGGCATAAGAAAAATAAGTCAATATCTAAACACGTCCTTGACTCTCAACCGCCATAGCTAGAGTGAAGCGCTAGTCTTCAGCAGACACGGGCGAAGTAAACATTGATGGAAGGGGGAGAACCCCACCCTTCGCGCAATTAGAAAGTACCTCCCAATTACAGCATGTACTGTAATAAGTGCAATTGCACAGTAAGTACCTCCCAATTACCATGTACACGCCATACTGTAATGATTGTAATTGCATAATAAGTACCTCCCAATTACCCACAGGGTATACATCTCATTACTCCATACATATTAAAGTGTAAGTACACCTTAGGTAGTAATTACTGTATGCAATGTAGTGTAATGAATGTTATCTAAGCGTCTCCTAGTGATTACAGTTGGCAGCACGTCCTTAACTCTTAGCCGTCGTGCCTAGAGTGCTTAGCCTGCGTTAGAGACGGTCGTGCTTAACCGAAATATCGTGGTAAGGGACTAAGAAGGGGTAGCTGCGCCAGAGATAGACGCGCCCAACTGAAATATCGAGGGAGGAGCTAAAAAGAGGTGGTGGAATTTTCTAGAGGATATATATAGTAGGACCCGCATCCAAATCCGTACAAATATCGTTAGCTTTAAGCCTATCGGGAGTTCTATCATCTAATATCGAAATAATCATAAAAATAATAAACATGTATAAGTGCAATTTTGGTTTAACATATACAAGGGTAGATAATTTACGTCGACATCAAAATAAAAGTTGTAAGCTGATATCTAACCGCATCGGCGAATCATCCGGAGGTACGAAGAGATCTACTACTCCCAGTAATGATGTTCCACCTGAAAAAAAAAAAGCCCGGGTAATGCGAGTTCCACAAGTTTATACGCATCGCATCGTAGACTCAAAAGCCTATAATAGAAGATGTGAATCATGTAATGTAGATGTCCCTACCAATCAGATGACGTCGCATATGAGGAGTCTTAGGCATAAAGAAAAAGCCTGTGCAATTCATGCCGATGGTATATATTTAATTAAGAGCGCGTTTAAGTGCAGAATCGCAACTTACAGGCTTAAATGTGATGAAAAACATATAGATTATGTAACATTTTTTGATGCGATAAAATTAAGAGTAATGAAATTGTTAAAAGTTGTTCTGAAGGCCCATAATGCCATTAAAGTTAATGTAGAGGCCTTCACTACTTATGCATTGGAGAGCCAAGATGTTTCTGAAATCAAATCTTTTAACAGGATGCTGTGGTATCTCAAACTGCAGACTTTCAACATAAGGATTCAGGTATAGTAGTTTTATAATTTAAAATTGTTGTTGAAGTCTTACTTTCTCATAAGACACTGTACAAACACACACATTTTAAAAAAAAAATTCTTAAAAATTTGCACGGTAAGGTATAGTTAAAAGTTCACTATTAGATAAATAAGGCATCTACTATTAGAAAAAAATTAATTTTAGTCATAATCTAATATTTTTTATTTAACATTGGTGGCGAAAGGACCTCCTTAAGTCTAAATAGGGTCGGTCAAAATTTGACCTAGACCATCCAACTTTTGACAAACTCAATATAATAGCCACTCACAGCTATCTATAGGTAGCGCGTTAATATTTAAATAGCTTATTTCGACCCGGCCTAAGCATTAGGTGCCGGAAATATTATAGGAAGTAGAAACATAGAGATCTGTTTATCTTTAATGAACATTTATTGGACTGTAAAAATATCGTCAAATGCACTTAATACGCTACAGTGTAAAAAATGAATTGTCCTCAATTATAACCATTGAAAGGTGACATCATAAATGAATTTTTAATTGACTAAATATCAGAATTACACCAACACCAACTGTATGAACCACACTGGCAAACTATGTCCTAAGTCGAATAATAATTTTTAATAAGTCGTTCAGGTGAAACTGCAAGACTCAAAACGCATTCCAGACAAAAAATTCTGTTGAAATTCTAAAAAAAAACCGACAATTGTTTCGAGTTATCCCAGATAATAAATATATATTTAATTTAGAATACATAAGAATACATTAGGAAAATGTATTTCCGAAGTCGATTTAGCCTCACCAGAAAATATAAGTGGCACAAAATTGAGGAAATATGTTGCTATTATAGTGACACAGATAATTAATTTATCTGAGAATGGAACGGATTGGCTAGATATTTTGGCCGAATCCCGGAAAAAAGCGCAAAGGAAATAAGCGCACAGACATATAAACGCACAGGAAATAATCGCACGTGGAAAGATGCGCACACGGAAAAAACCACACGGGTATAAAAGCGCACAAGGAAAAAAGCGCACATGGAAAAAAGCGCACATTGAAAAAAGCGCAAAGTACATGTAGTTTATATCTCGTTAAGAATAGGATACAGAAAAACTGAAGATTCTCTGAATAAAAATAAAAAAATTAAGTTCTATGAATACATAGTCAAAAATTATATCGGTGTGAAAAGTAAGCACCAAATATGCCGACTTATATCACAGATATTATGTACACAACAACAAATGCATGGGAATGGCATTCTGATTTTAATCCAACTTCTATAATTCTCAACCGAAATTATACCATTTTGTACATATTTTATTAAATTGTGAAGCTCAATCATATTGTAATGTGAGCCATTTCATTATTCAGTCATGCTCTAATACTCCAAGTCCCTCTCTGTATTATTTGGCCTTTGAGGCTCAACTTGTCCGATTTTTATACATAATTAAACCCCTTAAGACCAAACCTATGTGACGACTATGGTGGAGACACTTTCGCGAACATTCCAGAGTTAACGAGATACTATTTCTAGTCTAAATATAACGTGATAACGTGTAACCCCTTACACTTAATCCCTATTACTCACATATGGCTACCCTCTCTTCAAAATAACGTGATAACGTTTCTGGTAAATTCTGGTAATTTTGGTGGAGGAACATTCTAGACCACCAATTTCTATATAAATATTGGTGGATGAGCCATCAGAGTTAGTTGTTATATGGACAGTGAAGATAAATAGTAATGAGTAGATAGACAGTGGTAAATATAAATACTGATCAGTTTAAAAAACATTCGAAGTATATATAAATTAGAATAGTTGTGTTATAAAATAAATGAGTGTTTTAAATAAATTATTAATAAATAAACTGTTGTTTAAAATAAATAAACATCACATTGGTGTCAAGAAGTGGAATAGTGTAAATAAATAGTGGACAATAATGGCTAAAAGACTGTGTGAATTAAAAGTTACCGAGCTACGTCGGGAGTTAGAAGATCGTGAGCTGGAGACGACAGGGAAGACAGCAGAGCTGGAGACGACAGGGAAGAAAGCAGAACTGGGAGAGAGGCTTAAAGAAGCACTAGAAAATGAGGGCTTGGATTCGGAGACGTATCTATTTTCTGCTATAATTTCTTCGTTAGAAAATAAAGTTTATTCAGACATTACCTCCTTAGAAGAAAAGGTGTCTTCTGACATAGTTTCTTTAAAAGATGAAATTTCTTCCGACTTGGAAAACAAAATGTCTTCTATGGAAAATAAATTTTCGTCTAATATTTCTTCTTTAGAAGAAAAAGTGTCTTCCGAAATGTCTTCTATAAAAAACGAAATTTCTTCTATGGATGATAAGATTTCTTCCGTTGAGAATAAAATAATGTCTTCCGTTGAAGAGAAAATAAAAGAAATGGAAAGGAAGATTGAAGAAATGGAACACGTAGACCAAACCAAGAACGGTGAAATAAAGTGCCATGAGGTGGAGTCGAAGTTAAAATTGGAAGGAGCTGTAAACTCTCCTCGTGTTAAGGCCCCAACTTTCGACGGAAAGATGTCATGGATGAACTACCTTAAGCAGTTCGAAACAGCTGCCAGAGCAAACGAGTGGTCTGAACGAGAAAAGGCAATAAATTTGACCATTGCCCTTCGAGGAGACGCTTTGGATGTACTTCAGACTATACCCGTGGAAGAGACAGATGATTTTGATCAACTCAAAAAGAGACTAAATATGAGATATGGCCACGAACACTTGGAGCATTTATACCAGTCACAGTTGAAGAATCGTAAACAGAAACGGGACGAGACTCTTCAGAAATATGAAGTAGATATTGCCAGGTTGGTGCGATTTGCCTATCCATCAGCTCCGGAAAACATGATGGAATGTTTGGCAGTCCAAACATTTGTTGATGGACTCCGTGACCATGAGATGCAGAAAATACTCCGCTTAGCTCGCCACAAAACATTGGTCGATGTCTTGTCCGCTGCTTTAGAATATGAGGCAGCTACGCAGGCTCCTGGTGGATACAGTAAAGTAAGGACTCTAAGAGAAGAAGAAGAGGAAGGTAAACTCGACCAACTGGTAAACATGATGAAGAGCCTTACTGACAGAAAGATAAAGACGAAGACTATCAGGTGAGGGAATTGCGGTGAACTGGGACATGTACGCAGTTCGTACAAACGCCCTAGGGTCCAAACAAATCAAGACAACACGCCGCTGGAAAACTAGAGCGGGTCGGCCTAGAGGGGGCAGCTTCGACCCGAAACCGTTCCAAAGACCCTCTCATACTGATAGCCTCTTTGAAATCTCGCGATGATAGTGTATACGTAGACGGCGAAGTAAA